CTCTTGTGTTGTTGGAAAAGAGTGTTTGTGATGACCAGCTTGTTCTCTTGACAAAATTCTATTAGCCTTTGCCTTACTTTGTTTTGTACTCCAAGGCCAAATTTACCTGTTGTTTCTCTTACCTCTTGACTCCCTACTTTAGCATTCCAATACCCTATAATGAGAAGAACATCTTTCTTTGTCGTCAGTTCTAGAAGGTTTTGTAAGTCTTCACAGAATTGGTCAATTTCAGTCTCCTCAGAATCAGTGGTTGGTGCATAAACTTGGATTACTATGATGTTGAAAGGTCTGCCTTGGATTCCTGTTGAAATCATTCTGTTATTTTTGAGATCGTATACCAGTACAGCTTTTCCCACTCTTTGTTGACTATGAGGGCTATTCCATTTCTTCTACAGATTCTTCCCCACCATAGTAGATATGATAATTGTCTGAACTGAATTAGCCCCTTCCCGTCCATTATAGTTCACTGACGGTTATTTTTGAGATCGTATACCAGTACAGCTTTTCCCACACTTTTGTTGACTATGAGGGCTATTCCATTTCTTCTACAGATTCTTCCCCACAATAGTAGATATGATAATTGTCTGAATTGAATTAGCCCCTTCCCGTCCATTATAGTTCACTGACACCCACGTCAATGTTTATTCTTGCCATCTCCTGTTTGACGACATCCAGCTTATCATGGTTCATAGATCGTACATTCCAGGTTCCTTTGCAGTATTTTTCTTTGCCGCATCGGATTTTCCTTTCACTTCCAGGCACATCCACAGCTGAGCGTCCTTTCGGCTTTGGCCCAACCGCTTCATTAGCTCTGGAGCTACTTGTCCTTGTCCTCCGCTCTTCCTCCGTAGCATGTTGGACGCCTTCCAACCTGAGGGGCTCATCTTCCAGTGTCATATTTTTTAGCCTTTTGTTTCTGTTCATGGAGTTTTCTTGGCAAAGTGGCTTCCAGTTCCTGCTCCAGGTGGATCGCGCTTAATCAGAACTCTCCACTATGACCTGTCTGTCTTGGGTGTCCCTGCACGGCATAGCCCATAGCTTCTTTGAGTTATTCAAGCCCCTTCACCACGACAAGGCAGCAATCCATGAAGGTGAGAGCTGGCATAGCTCTGAGTAAGTTCCAGCATAGGATTGGATTTTGTACAGCTCTGGCTAGCCTAGAGTCAAGCTCACTTGGCCATTGGCTACGTTGGACAGCTATGATGTATACTGAGTGCTGAAAAAATACAACCCACCACTTGTGTCAAGAAAAAGTGTGTTCTGTCAGCTGTGCAAACTAGTGTTATGTTTGCTTCCTTATGTTGTGTTTAATCACTATTAGTAGTTATCAGAAAAGGACAAAGACTGGTGCATGATTGTAAAACTCCCAACACCCTGCTTTGTAAAAATAATAGGGCTGCTTATTAAATAGCTTGCAAGTGATTGATGTGGGTGTGATGAAGCTACATAAGCATGGACTTAATTGCCTTCTTTTGGCCTGAGCTTTCTAGAAGAGCAACAACACAGTAGGAGTAAGGGAAATGTATGCACCTGTGCCAAATAAAATTAGATGAAATATTTGTATTATTTCTGGTACAGAAATTGGAAGTGTGTTTGGAGGCATATAATGGAAACCAGACTCTTATTTTTCCCATCTTGACTACTGACATAGCATTTGTCTGCCAGGAGAGAGCAGCATTGTTACAATGTTAGATGCCTATATTATCAAACTCACAGTGTGATTCTGCTAAGTCTATTGTAGTTGACATGCTAACTTGGAAACGGAATGTCTTCTAGTGTTCTGCTGGTGGACCAGTTAATACAGTATATTCGATCTGAGGCACTGTTGGAGTATCCAGAATGACGAGAAGGCCTCCAGCTTACATGTCTGACATTTTATTAGAGGAATATCCAGTGCAGGAAAAACACTTAATGCTTTTTATCATGGTTGAATCTGTGATTACTTTTTTTCTCCAGTGATAAGGGAAATAAATGAGTTTTATTTGGGATTGGGGAGTTTGAGATTGTATAGGATCTTTAGTATACAAAAAAGTGGGACTTTAAAAATGTAATCCTCTTTTGATTAGAGATATGTGAAATATGTATATAACCCCGAAAGTGAAAAGAACAACAGTGTGCTATCAAACTGATTATGACTTATGGCGACCCTTTTCAGGGTTTTCTAGGTACAGAGTACTCAGAAGTAAGTCACTATTCCCTTCTTATAGGGCATAGTGGGGAACTGAACTCCTACCCTCTGACTCTGCAACAAGATACCCAACTCACTGAAAATAGTGTTGGCTAAAAGAAAAAAAATCAAAATCCATATAGAAGACTTTTATTAAGCCAACTCAGAGATCATAAAATACTATGCAGACTTTCAAGGAGTTTGGTTTATGTGATAAACAAACACTTGGTCGCGGAAAGTTAGTGCGTCACCAGGAAACTGGTTGTCACAGTTTTCAGTAATGTAGTCACTGAGGAAAGTTCTCAACCCAGATGTTTCCCAACTCCAATCAGCCCCAGCAAGCACAGGAAATATCGGGGATTGTTAGAGTTACAATCCACCAACTTCTACAGTGTCATGGGTTCTACAGCCTTGATACAAAATAGTAAAAGTTTGGATGTATTGTATACAGTACCTAAGAAAGAGGGCTCTGTCTGATTAAAATTTTAGTTGATTAATCTTCTTTAAGTGTTAGTAAGCTATCTATGCACATTTAAACCTTGAATAAGAACTATCAAGGTGAAAAGCATTTTTGTTTTTAGATTATATATGTCTTAAATGCTATTTTAAAAAGGCATTTTCTGTCACACACAATAGAAATGATGCCTCTTCTAAGAAGGTGCTTAAATGTTTTTTTTAAAAAAAGCTAGTATTACATTTTTTATCTCTCTGACTTTAATAGTTGCCTTTAATTAAAAAACAGCAACAAAAGGCTTTGAATTGATATAATGTTAATAGATTAAACCAAAGTTTTAATAAAGTATTTAATAAATAATGATTTTTAAGAACAACTTACATTGGGCTGATACCCAGTGTCATGTAGTGGATAGGTGGACCAAAACTCACTTTGCCATGTCAACCCACTGGAGACATGTGGAACTGGTAAAATCACTCCTTAAAGGGTCACTATAAGCCATTTCTGACATCATGGTACATAACATGTATGTGTGTGTGTGTGTGTGTGTGCGCGCACACACACACACACACACACAGACAGCTAAATTGCTCACTTACATTTAGTTGCCTTTATTAAAGTATCTATGGGTGTTCAGTGTAGGGAAAAGTAATTTCTCAAGATAGTTTATCTGGAGCAGAGAAATCGGGGCAGAAAGAGAATGGTTAACTCAACTACTGCTTGAGGATACACTGAAATAATGAATGGTTTCATCTAGTTCTAGTATATAACTGTAAATTATTTGAATTACTGTATAAAAGTGTTCCTAACCTTTGAAGTTGTGAAGCTCTGGATAGACCGATGGAGAAAATGTCTCAGTTTCCATTTGCTCAGGACTGGTGGTGAATATACTCTACTAAACTAGTTTCCTCCCTCACTGGATTGTTCTTTCTGATCATTCCTTAGAAAAATGCTCCTATGAATTGGTTGCTGTTCACCTATTTGTTTTTGTCATGCTTTATAATGATAGTTCCCCTGCCCCTTTTTACTTTTCAAGGTCCTGATCATCCACACAGCCTGTCTTACAAACTAGAGCTTGGGTCGGATCAGGAAATCCCCTCTGATTGGTATCCCTTTGCCACAGTACAGTTTGTTGTGTCTGATGCGTGTGCTTCTGGAACTGAAGTGAAATCACTGGGCATTGAGAATGATCTTCAACCCCAGAAACATGTGACTTATAAAACATGTTATAATTGCCAGGTAATATTATTTTTCTCTCTGTTTTTTAACTTAATTGAGTGTCTTAGCCAAGCATATGTAACATTCCTTCATTTCTTTACAGTATTTTGTTTTCTACTCAAGGCATATATATGGTGAAGTATATCAGCCTTGTGTAGGCAATGGTCAGGGTTCCTGTAGACTGTAGAATTACCTTACACTACATCTGGAGAGCATTTGGGAGGGCAGTAGTAGACTAGTTTTTAGTCTTAGCATCATGGAGTACTATTGGGCAGTTTGAAGGCAAGAGTGGCTTATCACTAAAAATCACAGGTATAAACTAGCTTTCAATCCTGTATGAGTCTTCATCAGGCGGGACACCAGAGAACTGGGGGTTGGTGTAGAAGAAGCACAAATGATCCAAAACTCAGGGCCAGATGTACCTGTTTAAACGAAGCTTCAAAATGGGGCCTTTTGCACTACCCCTAGCTTTGTGGTGCATAACGTGATGAAACCCCATTAGGCTTTTATTAGTGATGTTTTAGTGATGTAATAAAGGTATCACTCACCCTTACCTTCTAATGGTGCTACAAGGATCACATGGCTTTTTGTTTTCTTTAATGTATGTATATATTTAGGTATTTGATTTTTATACTTCCCATCTAGCAAACTGCTTATCTGGGCAGTGTACAACAAAATATAAACAAAATTGAGCAGGGGGTTGGGCTTGATGGCCTTGTAGGCCCCTTGCAACTTCATTTTTCTAAGATTCTATAAAGAAAATGTATTATAAAATCAATTATAAAAGACACCAATGGACTATAATTCCAGATAAGAAGACAGCACAAAATAACAGTTTCTCTAATTCAGCGTTTTAATTCTTCCTCTATCCCATTAACTGGGGAGGATCTCCCCAAAGGCTTCCCTAAGAAGCTCCATTTTCAGGAGCTTCTTAAAGGTGTGGAGGGAGGACACCTGACATGTTTCCTTCAGGAGGGCATTTGACAGAGAGGGTGCCACTGCTGAGAAGACCTGATTTCTAGTTGATGTTTTTCAGGCTTCCCTAAGTGTCAGTTATTATCTCAGAGCTGGTACTTGATTCCACAGTTGTCAGAATGTTATTGGTTCACAGGTTTGTATCCAATGAACTCCTGTTTTAATTTATTTGCAGCAGTTAAATCCAACACTTCATTCTGTTTGCACAAAGTGTTGCTTGTACTGGTGGCACTAAATTTGGGCAAATTTTAGTGGAGTATCTACCAACAGTAGAAGAAAAGCAACTCATAAACATTTTTCTACTAGCATGCCCTGAAAACAGCCATAAATTCTGCATACAGTGGTGCCCCGCTAGACGATGACCTCGCAAATCAATGAATCCGCATGATGATGAGTTTTTGTGATCACTATAGTGCTTCGCAAAACAGTGTTTCCTATGGGCGATTTTCGCTGGACGATATTTGGGTCTGTGCTTCGCAGACCGTTTTTCGCAAGATGACAATTTTGACAGCTGATCGGCACTTCGCAAAATGGCTTCCCTATGGGCGATTTTCACAGAACGATGAAGATTTTTCCCCACTGGAACGCATTAAATGGATTTTAATGCATTCCAATGGGGAAACGCTTTTCGCAAGATGATGTTTTCACAAGACAGCGATTTCAATGGAACGAATTATCGTCTTGTGGGGCACCACTGTAACAGGTTTGGGATGGTGGTTGTTTCTTTAGTGAGCATAACGTTGAAAATTTCGTTAACTATTTTTTTAAAAGTGCATTCCTTTTGCTTTATTACTACAGGTTGAAATTGAGAAGAAATGGATCAGGCTTGATGGAGAAGATCCCAAGAAGTGTGGGAGTTGTCAAATGCAATAGGAAGAGGAAGAGAGAAATAATATGCTGTGCTCTTATTGATAGTTGAGAATATGCTTACTACATATATTTGTTGCAAACAAGGGAGATTGAAATGCTGTAAGACACAGAATTTCAGCATATATCTTACAGTTTGTTATGCTTAAGGACTTAATGTACAGTTGAAGCTTCTACTCCTACCTTTAACCCATTGAGTGTAATGTCTTCTTAAAAGGTAATACTGTAGACAGATTTTGTTCACTATTTTGAAAATGAATGGCATTTGATAAGAATTTCTGTAAGTCAATTGACCAGGAGACAATAAGCAATAACATGAACATATTTTGGCTTCTAATAGTCTAGAAGAATAAATTACAGCATGAACATAAATGTAATTTACTCATGTAATCCTATGTGTTTCTCTTTTCATTATGGTAAAATGGTAAAATGGTAAAAACCTCAAATGTACTTTCAAAGAGATGTCACATGTAGGTGTAGATTTTTAGAATGGCGCAGCTGGAAAAAGATATCAGGAATCTAAAGTATCTTTTTTGGACCCTTCCTGAAAAATCCACACAGTTCCTGAAGCTCATTACAACTGCTGATATGTGTTCCTTCACAGAAATAGACATTTCTTACAGGAACCAATTCAGATAAGCAGTGTTCTTCCTTTGCCCTCTTATGCTGCAAAAGGAAGCTTTCCCCTCCATTCTTTGGAGGGCTGCTGTGCCTGAGCTTTTACAAAAAAAGGAAAATAAAGAAATTACAGAGGCTCATGCCCTAGAAAGGTTACATAGAGCTTTCATTTCAGTGTTTTGGATAGAACTGAGTTAAGTTTTACTATTTTGCCAACTTATACATTATTTTGGATCCTTAGTGAGAACAGATGTGAGATTTGGACCAAAAAGATGCCCTGAATTGGCTCTCAAAGAAAGAGTGAGATCCAGAAAAGCTGAAATGAACGTGAAAAGTGAGACGTTCCCTTGTATTCTCAGCCAAGTAAAATTTTATTTAATGGGTGTGTAAAACATTCCTGAGTCTGAAGAGAATATACAACTATAAATGTGTGGCAACTATAAGCAGTTTAACGTTCTAGATGTTGATTTTTACATTTATTGGTCAGATGAATTTGTCCACTTGTGGGAGGTACTATCTTCATTCTTTTCTTCATGGGGCTTGTGTTCACATGCTAGAGGAGTGTCTACCTCAGTTTTAATTCATATGGAGGGCTCTATGCTTTACTGCAACTACCCTAGATGTTTTCACTGCTGCACATAAGTCTTTTTGGAGTCAAGCTGTAATACTCGTAGTATATTTCATCTTGCTTTGTCCCTGGTGCAGATACTCAGCAAGAGCTTTAACATAACCTTAAGACTTCAGTTAATTTACCCCAAAGGGGAAATGATTTAAAATAAGTTGAATTTTATTAATCTGGGAAAACATTATAATTTCAGTGCAGCACACAGTGGAAATGAATATTCCATTACTCTATAAATTATCGATGTAACTTTCTCCCAACAGTTAATTCTAAAAATACCTCAGTATTTTTAATCTCATTGTTCTGAAATTTCAAAAGAGTTTTTAATTTAAGAAAACACCATTGTATGCTGTTTCATAGAATTGAGGAAAATGTGGCTTTCTTACCTTAATTGACCTCAAATATTATGCATTTTACTTATAGGCTGTCTTGTTCAGACTCCATCTGATAGTGCAAAACCCATTCATTTCAACAAAACTGTGTGTTCTGATGTGGACAGCATGAATCTTTCTAGATTGTCATACTTTAAGAGAAAAATAACTTAAAATACACATCTGCATAGTTCAGATATAAAGCATGGTGAATATATATCGGAAGACAGGACAGAGAAGTAGAAGGGATCTTGACTGCAATGCAGAGCTCTTGAAGCCTTTCATTCGTCAACATTAGAGACAACAACTAAACCATAAATACGTTTTGCCCACTTGTTCTTAGGAAGGAAACTGAAATCTTCACTGAATTTATAGCTTAGCTGGTCACCTTCACCTGGTTTTTAAGATACCATGAGCTATAACATAGTACCCATTTTAAAATTACCTTCACTTGAGGAGTAATTCTTCCCGGGGAGACAAAAGAGGAGTCAGAATTGAAAATTAAAGTATTTTTATTAACAACTGGGTTCACTATTGGGTTCATTTCTTCTTCTTGGTTACAAACAACAGAACTTTGAACAGATAACTGGGGAGGAGAACTTCCCCAAAACCATAACATAGATTTGTCTTCATTTAAATCTTTCAACAACTAAACCATAAATATGTTTTGCCCACTTGTTCTTAGGAAGGAAACTGAAATCTTCACTGAATTTATAGCTTAGCTGGTCACCTTCACCTGGTTTTTAAGATACCATGAGCTATAACATAGTACCCATTTTAAAATTACCTTCACTAAAATATGTTTCATATTTCATACGATTCTTAGGTTGTTAAAATTTGCACTTATTTGCAAATTCACTGCTTTTGCTTATCCTCTGGTAGGAATATATTTGTCACAAATCCCCCATCTGGCCTTGTCCAGTTAAACTGTGGTAGCAATAAGTAAAATGCAATAATGAAGGGGGATGGTGTGCATAAATCTGATTCTCATCGGCCCAGCTCTCAGTCATAGAAGCTACAAGAAAGGCAAAGTCTAAGAGGTAGGAAATGCAAGACCTCCAGGTGCCCAGAAGTGTGTGTTATGTTTTCTGACTGAATTCTTTGGAATCTGTCTGTTATATAGGGATAGCTAGTTTCTCCAGCTAGCTCAGGAATGAAATTTTGCCACCCTTGAGATGTTCTTGGACTGCATTACCATCTTCCTCAGTAAGCATTTCTGTTGGCCAGGGATGACAGGAATTGCAGCCTGACATTATCTGTAAACTGCTAGATACTGTACCTGTCCAGAGTTTCAGGCATGGATCTTTCCCAGACCTTCCTGAATAGGGGTTGAACCTAAGATCTTCTGCATACAAAACATGGTATTTATAGCTACAACCCTTTCCTGTTCTTCAGGATAATTCTAAAGGATGACCAATTTTATTTTTGGTTTCCATTTTTGTGACAAAGATTGCAGATGAAAGACTAAAACTGATTGTTCCTAAGAGGATACTCAAGGAGAAAGACAGGAAAGCAGTAAACAGACAAGGTATGGCTCAATATAAATCTCAATAAATACATTATCTTACAAGGAAATACATTAACTTAGCTTATCTCAGCTTGCTATCCTAAGGCTAGTGATCAAGGTTACAGAGGCTTTCTCTCTGTGCCTTTTGTTGCAGTGCAATGGACTGAATATCTCTTCCACCACTGAAAGTGTCGTTTGTGAAAGTATCTGAATTGGATGAGATGAAGAATGAGAATGATATATCTTGCTATGCAAAGTAAAATTGGGACCAGAGGAAATATCCTATCTAAAGAATAATGGAGAGAGGCCAAAGGAATGTCTGGAACACAGGGAAAATTTGAGGAGGATTGTTTTTTATTATGAGACTTGGAGATACACAAAAGGGCACTTCCTTGTGATTCTTGCACATTATATTATTATTTTGACACTGATACTGCCATTCATTTATTCAACTCTGTGCAAAGTCTAGTGTAATTTCTTCTTTTACAATAAGTCTATTCATAGAAAAGCATACAAAGAAATGGTAAGGTAAGAACTGAAAATCACATGGGTTTTCTCTCTTCTTCCCCAAAAGAAAGTCAATAAATGGACTTTAATTAGAAACTTCCTTAGGGTGGTGAAAGAGACAGGGTGATGGAGTAGTGGGGAAAGCATGTAAGGGAGCGTGTCACAATGTCCCCTACATTGTCACCTCTGTACAATAAATGTAATGCAATGTATTAGCAAATTTTGTAGTTCATTATTCTGTTATTTGTATTTTCTATTTCTGTTAGGTTACGACTAATTTAAATCCCATTGATATGAATGGATCTGCACTATTTCTGCTGGATCCAACTCATTATTTGGAACAATCTAGAACAGAAATGGGCATGAGGTGCTTCGTAATGCTTTGTACGAAGCATGAAGTGTGGCTGCAGAAGCCCATCTCCTCCCCGCCCCTCTGGCTGGCCCACACATTGTTCTTCACTTGCCGATGGGGACCTCCTTCTCCGGTGGTATGCCAGTTTGGGCAGAAACTCCAACAAGGTGGTCAACTGCTTGAGGAGGCAGGGAAGGGTAGCATGAGCACCTGCCAGGACTGGCATGCTGCTGGAAAGGAGATCCCCAGTGGCATGTGGAGAACAGTGAGTGGGCCAACCAGCTGGGGTGGAAGGGAGATGGGCTTCTGCAGTAACTGTGGTATCACACGGTGTGCTTCATACAAAGCGCAACAAAATGCTTCATGCCCGTCCCTAATCTAGAGCTGGCCATATTTGGAAATATTTGTTTCCAAATGTTATATGGAAATGTGTTGAAAGCTAGAAGTGTAGGATTCTATTGATATTACAATACTAATATTGTTAAACTATTTTTATGATTGTAAGTGTCAGCAGACCGAAGTCTACTGAAATCAGTGGTATGCAGATGTAACTTTGTTATGTGTATCCATTCAGAGTTATAAAAATAATTTATAATTAATATAAGTCTTCTGTAGAAGTACTAAAACTGATTGAAGGTTTTAATCTTTATAAAAGTCTTTTCTGAGTTTTGTTATTAAAACATTAAAGCTGTATATTTTAATGAAAAAAATGGTTTGGGTAGATATTTTTTTCACCAGTAGAACACTTTCCAGAAAAAAAAATCCTTCAGACCACCACAAACTATGTTCAGCCCTCCTCATGAATCGCTGGTGAGTTTTTAGCGGATACAATACAGTCCTTTGCATCCCTGATGAGCCAGGGGATCCTAACTAGGTGAACATTCTATCGAAACTGAGGATGCCACAGTAGTTGAAGCCCTTTGTGTGTCTAGCTGCAATACTGGTGTGAGTAGTTATAAATTTTGTTGTAATGGATTCTAAGATAAATAGAATCTTAGACCATAACTGCCCTTGGTAGGCGCCTATCGTGACTGATCGTTGGGCACATGAAGCAGAAGCGATCAAGTTCACCGATGTTTCCATATTCTTATTAGCAGGGTTCAGGGAAATCATTTCTTAGCAGATACAGTCTTTTGTGGGAGCTAAAAAAAGCTCTTCTTTTTCTGTGTGGCTAAGTTAGAAACATGAATATCAGCACCAACTGCAGGTAAAGCTTCATTTTGCCTAGATAAAACAATGATGTTCATCTTATGCAAGTGAAGTCTGGTGAACGTGGAGGACCTGAAATAACTCTGTTTCTTCTTCGTGGCCTCTGTGAATACACACATATGGGTTTAGTCTGCGCCTGCGCTGACGTTCTCCGAGCATTCCAGAGCTAAAAGTAACAATTTTATGGTTCCTTTGGCCACAAATAATGTGTTTTAATGAAATGAACATGTGTTTTTACATGCCTCAAAAGTTGGGGTTGCAGAACTTATAGTTTGTATTTGGTGATAAGAATAGTAATTATTTTAATTAAGGCGGAAGACTTGTTTAGATTAGATCCCACCTTCTCACTTGTAAAAGCACAATGCTGGAACAGCAGCACTTTTCTGCTGACTGGAGGTGTTGCTGCCCTGTCTCTACTCTGGGTAGAGAGGTTTAGAGCCACAGTCTTTTTCATGCACTAATATGTAAAAACTGAATGTTTTTGTTAAGATGGGAAAGCATTTGAAAATTTTCTATCTGCAATATGCTGTGGTGGGTTCTTCCATTTCAGATCAGAAACATACAAAAGAGGGATTCTTAATTAATGTTGGCCTCTTAAGTGTTAGAGCAGAGCTTCTTTCACCTCTGGTATTATTAGAATTAGCTTGCCTTGTTTGACGGTTGACCCTTAAGCAGGAGACATTTTTGAAATCCAATTTTACAAACATGGAAAGACTTCCAAGTAATCTATCTGCAACATGAACATTCTTTCAGCTTTTATTATGGACTGTCTCTAATTTCTTTTTCCGGCCTCTGTCTACTACCTTATTCTGTGCCATACATGGATGCACTACATCAGAGGTAGAGACAGAAATCTAGGCAGGAAATCTGGATTTGCAACAATCTTCACTGCTTATCACAGCACCAAGGAAAACCACTACTTATTTTATTTTTATCCCTGTTTCCTCCCCAAACTAGGACTCAAGATAACTCACAACAAAGTTAACTTAAAAAGTTTGAGCTAATACAAGGAGTTCTAAAATTAAATAGAACCAATGGTACATTTTTAAACAATTAAAAACTATTTTAAAACACATTGGTAGAAAAAAAAATCCCTGAGAGACAAGAATCCCCTGTTCATTCTCAGAGACTTTAACACTAGAGTTGGCACTGATCACAATTTTTGGCCCACTTGTCTAGGCTGTTTTGGCATTGGGAAGATGAATGAAAATGGCCAACGCTTGCTGGAGTTTTGCTGTTATTATGGTCTCTGTGTCAGCAACACGATCTTTAATATGAAGCTTCAACACAGAGTTTCCTGGAGACATCCAAGATCTAAGCATTGGCATCAGCTCGATTTGATCCTCATTAGACGTTCTAGCCTTCCTAGTATTACGATCACACACAGTTACCAAAGTGCTGATTGTGATACTGATCACTCCCTGGTGTGTAGCAGAGTAAAACTGCGAACAAAGAGATGTATCACGAAAAAGGAAGAAAGACCAGGTATTGACATCAGCAAGACTCACGATCAAAGAAAAGTTGAAGAATTTGCCCAAGCACTTAAGGAAACCCTTCCAGGGCTGGCTGATGCAAATGCACCTGAACAATGGGAACATTTCAAGAATGCTCTGTATGACTTTGCCTTGTCCACATTTGGCAAGAAGACCAAAAAGACGGCAGACTGGTTCAAAGCCCATTCGGAAGAGTTGATACCAGCCATCGAGGATAAGAGGAGAGCTCTAGAGGCGGAGTTATTCCGTATAGTGCGCAACCTATCCAGAATTGGTCTGAGTGATGGGCCTTCCCCTAGTTTTTCACCGGACCAATATGCAGCATTTTAAAAATCTAAAGTGGAGGCCATCCGCTGGGAGCTCTCTCCTTTTCTGAATACAGTG